TTTTAAATCTTTTAACTTCAGCAAATAACATTATCAATATTTCGAAGTGATATTTGGTTTCTGGTGAGTAGCAGTGAGTTTTGCCTTCCTCCTGAGACCCGGCTATGAGGCAGCCTTCTTCCTGCGGTGTGTCAGGGACTCTGCACAGCCCACACCTCACATCCCACCTCGATTTTAGCTTCAACTGTTATAACTCAGTGCCATTGACCTAAACTCCCAGAGGCCTTCACGACAACCAAAGGGGTTGTCAGTTTACTCTTTTACTGAAGAACATTCTTCACTAACTAATCCTTAAGTAATCGCTAACCCTGGGGTAATAACTAACCCTTGAGTAATCCTGGGCGGCACCAGCGATAATCTATTGAAAACATCTTGACCTTTGAGATGTCTGGGAAACTGAGTAACAGGTAATTAACTAACTGCTAAATTCTGCTTCTGTAACATGCTTGCTTACAGTAGCAACCCCCTTACAAAATCCTATAAAAAGGAGCCATTTTAGCTCTCCGGGGCCGCAGTTACTCCTGTGTGGGACATACTGCAGGTGCCTGCGGACTTAGCTCAATAAACTCTTTTTGTTAAACCCCATCTCGGCATCTGAGTTTGGTCGATCTCCTGGGTTACAACACAACCCTAAATTTTTTTTTCTTTTAGATTTTTATAAACCCTGCTTAATAGGGTAAATTCCCCCTTTTGGTGAAAATGATGTAGAATGACTGTCAATTCTTGTCCCCCACACCAAACAGAGATGATGAAGAAAGGCCTCTGCCCATCTGATGGGGCATTTTCACCACAGTACAGGCAGGAGGTTCCACATCCCTGGTAGATCTGGGGCCTTTATGGCCATTAGAGTTGCACAGTTAGTCTGAATCAGATCCAGGGTCCCAAAACACCCTAGTCAGCTCACCCCTCTAGGACAGTAGTAGGGCTTACAGAATCGTAAAGAGGCAGAAAACCTCTCTTTTCTGTGGAACCTTGAATCCTCTCAGGAGAGTTGTTTCTGTTGGAAATTCAAGACTTTGCAAGCAAATATTAGAAGACTTTCCAAAGTCACTAGGTGAATATGAGTGTAAGGCTTAGAATTCTTAGGTGGGTTGAGGGGAGGGAAGTGGGAACTGGGTTAAGTGTTCCCTTTCATTAGTCTCTATAGGTAATGATTTCCCTAGTTAACCAAAGAAGAGCTATGGAAGCTGCTTCTCCCTCACCTATTAAAAGGAAAAAGATGGGTATCTTTAATTGAAAGCAAGGCATCACAAAATTCGTTAATTATAGGCTCAAAGGGGCTTTGAGCTCATCTTGTATCTCCTTGGTTTTTAGCAGGATGGCATTAAACCTTCCTAAAAAGATAAGACTCAAACTATTTTTAAACATACCCAAAGAGGGTAGGTATTCTGTCTTCTGTTCCTTTCTAAGACTGGGAATTTTTTCCCCTTTCTAACCTCACCACAGGTGAACTTTTCCTGTTACTAACCTGTGCCTTCACATTCGAGTTTGACTTGGTTTGCTCCATGGAAATGGCCACCAGCTGGTCACCATTAGCCTTTTCTAAACTGTACTTCCATCTGTCCCTCTATATGAAAATATAACAATTAATTAGGATATTTGGGTTTAAATCAATAAATTTGGATCTAGATGCTCTTTCTCATACCTTTTTCTTTCTCTGCTATCAGCTCCAATGCTGCCCCCCTCCCCCTTCTACACACACACTACAACGCATGGGCACATTCACACTCTAGTAAATTTTAAAAACACCCCTTAAACAGCTAGTTAACATTTAGACCTTGGCCTTCACTGTCCACAACAAGGGATGATAGTTAAGAGCACAGACTCTGGAGCCTGCATATCCATTTCCTTATCTGTAGAATGAAGACAATAATAGTATATGCCTTGCAGGGATGTAGAAATGATTAATGAATTAATACATAAAAAACCTTTAGAACGGTGTCTGGTGCTCTAATTGCTATATAGTTGTTAGCTATTGTCATGCCCTCCTTGAAGCAAAGGGACATTTGGAGGCATTAAGCTATACCTGATATTCCAGAAGGCAGGAGTTTGAGAAAGAAAAGGAGTAGGACTCAAGTTTAAGGATAGGGGACAAGCAAGGAGTCATAAAGGTGAAAGATTCCTTTTTTTTTTTTTTAAGACAAAAAGTAAATAAGAGAACAAAGCTATGGGGAAAGAGGAACAGCACACATTTATCTTAACAGGGAAACGTAGGAAGAGAAAAACAAAGGAAATGAGAAGAAAGAAGAAAAGAAATAGGGAGACAAGAGTAAAAAGATGACACAAAAACAGGATAAAAGGAGGACTGAGAATTAGAAAATTAGAAAAGATCCATTTAAATTACAATGGACTCCATTTACAGCTTGAGCTGGGTGTCAGGAAAAGGAGTGGAAGAGAAAACAAAAATGTTGGATATACAAGTAGGGAAACTTGGGACAAAAGTGATGGGCGTGGAAGTGATAACATAAAAAGTTTAATTTGCAGCAACAGGCCTCTGTGTTCTTAAATTATGGGAAGTTTGCGTAAGAATTAACACATTCATAATCCACTAGGCGTCTCTCTCTCTCTCTCTCTCTCTCTCTCTCTCTCTCTCTCTCTCTCTCTCAACTTGCCTTAAAGTCGGCCCCAGACTTAGTCCTTAAGGTCTGCCCTGATCAGATGTCTGCCTGCTGTCCTGTCTGCACTACCCGACAAGGTCCAGATGCAGTGACCCAGTCTTCACTGCATTTTCACTAAATACTCCAGCCACCAAGTGAAAATTTAGCTCTGGAGAAAATATTTACACCCTCTTCCTTCTCCAAACATTTAGAAACCTCTAAGGGAAGCTGGTATTTTAATTTTTTAATTATTCATCTCAACGACATTCCCTCCGCCCCCACCACTCGGGCTTTTTTTGGTCAATTTAGAACAAGAGGACAAAATGATACAGTACTGCAGGGATACGCCGCTTTTAGGGCGCCAAGCTGTCCTCCCCACCAAAAGGATTTAATCACCCAATCCCTTGGAAACAACAGAGAGGTTGGATTGAGATTTAAAATAAAAGAATATACTTCTTCTTTGAAGTATTATTAAATTGCCTATTTGGTGCAAAATAAATACCCCTATTGGAGGAAGTCGAGCGACCTTAAAAGGCCCTCTAAACAGACGAAGTGGACGGACCGCGAGCGTCTCCTCACGCCGGGGTGAGCTTGGGCCGCCGCGGCCGCGGGAGTCACGAAGCCAGACACGGCGCGCGTCTCCGCCCGGGACTCGGGAGACTGCGGCAGCGCGCACCGCGGCCGCGGCCGGGCGGCTCCTGGAGGCCCGGAGGAGACGCGACTCCTGCAGACACGTGACCTCCCAGCCGCCGCTTCCCGCGACCCAGATCTGTCCCCGGAACCCGCGCCCGGCGGGGCGGGCCGGGGGACACGTAGCGACGGCTCCAGCCCCAGCCGCGCCCCGGAGCGTGTGCATTCGGCGTACTTCTTCTGGTTCACGTGCCACTGGCAATAATGACTGTTTCGGGGGATCACCCGGGCGAATGTAGATCTTACTCTTGGTACAGGAATGAAAGTCTTTGGTTCTATATCCACCCATAGACATCTCCATCCCACTCTGGGCAGACCCAAGTAGCGGCAGCGGGGCCGGGGACCTGGGATTCCCGCAGGATATGCTTGCCCTTGGCCTCCAAGGCCCTTTGCCGCTGGCTGTGCCGGGCGTCAGCGCGCACATCCCGGCACCTCCTGATAACTCTCACTAGCAGTGAGTCTTATTCCCGGGACGGCTCCGGGGAAAAGGTAAGCCCGACTCCCGCTGGCCCGTGCTTCCTCCCGGCGGTCGCCGGGGCTGCAGGGCGATCGAGCGCGCCCGCGCGCGCGCACACGGGCTCCCCGCGCAGTGATGTGGCAGCAGCCGCAGGTCGGATCACGTTGCTGGCCCTGTGCTGGTACCCGTTTGAGACAGGATTAAGGAGGGAGACTTTGGAGGTGCCAGTGGTAGTAAACGTGGGATCTGCACACTCCCGGCGTTGCTTATCGCACGGGGGGGAGGGGAGAGGAAGCTCGCAGCGCCACCCCAGACGCTGAGGGGCGGCGGAGTTTTAGCGAGCGAGTGAAATGCTGCAATGCTTTTCCGCGGTAGCCCCTCTCATGCCACCCCCTCCTCTTCCCCTCCCTCCCTCCCTCCCTGCCGCGTTCCTCCGGGAGCACCAGAAGCCCCAAACGTCGTCATCAGCTGCTGTGATTAGTGGCACCGCAATTCCGGCTGCTGCGGGAAGTTTGGGTGACCCAGGGACACTGTGTCGCCAAAAGACACTCGGATTGCGACATTCCGACCCAGTGACATTTTCATTTATCTTAAGTCTTTCTTGGAGAGGATTTCAAGTTGTCTATTTTCGGGGCAACCTCCAACCAAGGCCAAGGGGTCCCCCAGGCCACTGAGCGGTGTGCAAACAAGTCTCCAAAATTTCCTTTGGGACTGAAGTTTACCCACCGCGAATTCTCTTTCCCTGGTCCAAACCAACAGCACAGTGAGTGAAAAAGCAAAAAGCCACTTTCACGTTCCTGCACTGTAATGACGGACGGACTGAGGGAGTAACATTTCCGAGCTGAGGAAGCCCTGGCTGCCCCACACCCCCGGCACCCCTCTCCCTCCCCCAGCTGAGTGCAACGCCTTTGGGAAGATGAATAGCTTGGCTGAAGTTGTTTTTCCTTTCCGGTGGCCCTGATCAGGTGTCCCCGCCCCCTCCCGCCGTTCGCTTTCCCTCGCAGCCTTCTCCCGGCGCCCCCTCCCGGCCCGGCCCCTCCTCCCCCGCCCCCCTCCGGGCTGGACCGCGGATGGTACGTTCCGCACGTGAGCTGGGTGCTGGTCTGGCCGGCGACGCGCGTGCCCTGTGGCCAAACACCGCTCGGAGTGAGAGCAAACTACCAGCGCTGTGGGGCCGGCGCGAGTGTGGGTGCGTGTGTATGCGTATGTGTGCGAGAGAGCGAGCGCGGTGGTAGGGGCGGGGGGGCGGGGGACCAACTGCTTCACACTTTCAACACTGCACTGAAGAGGGAGAGCGAGAGACTGGAGACGCACAGATACCCCCAAGATCTCCCAAAGCTACCGTCCCACAGATTATAGAAAAGAACCCCAAAAATCGAAACAGGAAAACGGACAGCGGTTGAACATGGACGAAGGAATTCCTCATTTGCAAGAAAGACAGTTACTGGAACATAGAGATTTTATAGGGTAAGGTGCACGCACCCTTACGAATATCTGTCTGGGCTTCAGTTTGATTTTTTTTCTTCCCAAGAAAGTGGTATGGAGCGGCGAGGGCAGAGCCCCTCCCGAATGGGTGCCTGATGCTGATTTCTGTTTTGCAGACTGGATTATTCCTCTTTGTATATGTGTAAACCCAAAAGGAGCATGAAGCGAGACGATAGCAAGGTAAGAGTAAGTTTCCGATGTTCCCCATAACCTGCCTGGATAGTTAATTAGGGCCATTGATTTCTCAGCGAAGCTCTGCCCGCAAATGTATTCCAGCCCTTGAGCTTCCCCAACTGTGAATTTTAAGTGGTTTGCTGGATACTCTCAGGGGGAGATTAAACATCATACCTGAATTTAAATTTTATTTCAGAACAGTCCAGAGGAAAGAGATTTCTTGGGCATAGTTTATCACACAGTATGTGTTTTGGGGGGTGGGGGATGTTGCTATATCCAGTAAATGAATGTTTATCTTACTGTTTTCTCTCTTCCATGACTCTCATATATTAAGGATACCTATAAATTACCGCACAGATTAATAGAAAAGAAAAGAAGAGACCGAATTAATGAATGCATTGCTCAGCTGAAAGATTTACTGCCTGAACATCTGAAGTTGACAGTAAGATGCACATTTTCTTTCTTTGCTGCTCTCCAAGGGCTTGTTAATAGCCTGGTACTACTCCCAGAGATATAAGAATAGATGTAAATATCAGACGCCTTACAACTTGTGCTATAGTGTAGAGTTTCCCACAAACTCAGGAGTAGGTGCTCACAAGTGAAGGCAAAAAATCATTTATTACCTGTCTTGTGGAAAGCTCAAGAAGTATAGGAATAATAAGCGTTTGCTGAATGGAGAGCCAATCAAACCAAATGTGTGTTTTTAAGTAACCAAATGCCCCATTCTCTTTTGCACCAATGCAGACTCTGGGGCATCTGGAGAAAGCAGTAGTCTTGGAATTAACTTTGAAACACTTAAAAGCTTTAACAGCCTTAACCGAGCAGCAGCATCAGAAGATAATTGCTTTACAGAATGGTAAGTCAGTTCAGGGAGACCAATCCACCCTGATGAAGCCGGGCAGCCCACAGAGGAGCAGTGTTAGGACTCTTTCCCCACCCCCACCTCCTTCCGTGGGCCCACGGGCTCACTCTCATTTGTGAAATTGCTTATACTTTCCCTTCATTGGAAAGTGCCCATTTCCTGAAGCATCCTAGAGGCTTTCAGCAGAACTCAGAGGAATCAGATTTTTTTTTTTTTTTTTTAAAGTGGCGGTTGCACCCTCTCCACTTTGGTTTTTCAGCTGGGAGTAGAGCGCCCCCCCTGGTCCCCCCGCCCCCCTCCTCTGCAACCGGTGGATTATATCACTCGAATACAGAGGAAAAACCGAGATCACTTTAGTCAGTGCAGGGCCCACGTGATGAGCAGATGTTTTAACGTCGGTGTTTTTTCTTCTTGCCTTCATTCCTCTGTCCCCCACCCCCCACCCCTCATCCTAGGGGAGCGATCTCTGAAATCGCCCATTCAGTCCGACTTGGATGCGTTCCACTCGGGATTTCAAACATGCGCCAAAGAAGTCTTGCAATACCTCTCCCGGTTTGAGAGCTGGACGCCCAGGGAGCCGCGGTGTGTCCAGCTGATCAACCACTTGCACGCCGTGGCCACCCAGTTCTTGCCCACCCCCCAGCTGTTGACTCAACAGGTCCCTCTAAGCAAAGGCACCGGCACGTCCTCGGCTGCCGGGTCCAAGGCCACCCCCTGCCTGGAGCGCGCTGGGCAGAAGCTGGAGCCCCTTGCCCACTGCGTGCCAGTCATCCAGCGGACTCAGCCTAGCGCCGAGCTCGCGGCTGAGAACGACACGGACACCGACAGCGGCTACGGCGGCGAGGCCGAGGCCCGGCCCGACCGCGAGAAGGGCAAAGGCGCGGGGGCGAGCCGCGTCACCATCAAGCAGGAGCCCCCCGGAGAGGACTCGCCAGCGCCCAAGAGGATGAAGCTGGATTCAGGGGGCGGCGCGGCAGCCGCGGCGGCCGCGCTCCTGGGGACCGACCCCGCGGCCGCAGCTGCGCTGCTGAGACCCGACGCCGCCCTGCTCAGCTCGCTGGTGGCGTTCGGCGGAGGCGGGGGCGCGCCCTTCGCGCAGCCCGCGGCCGCCGCGGCCCCCTTCTGCCTGCCCTTCTACTTCCTCTCGCCTTCGGCTGCCGCCGCCTACGTGCAGCCCTTCCTGGACAAGAGCGGCCTGGAGAAGTACCTGTACCCGGCGGCGGCCGCCGCCCCGTTCCCACTGCTGTACCCCGGCATCCATGCCCCGGCTGCCGCCGCCGCCGCCGCCGCCGCTGCTGCTGCCGCCGCCGCCTTCCCCTGCCTGTCCTCCGTGTTGTCGCCCCCTCCCGAGAAGGCGGGCGCCACCGCCGCCGCCGCGACCCTCCTGCCACACGAAGTGGCGCCCCCTGGGGCGCTGTACCCTCCGCACGGCCGCACCCACCTGCCCTTTGCCTGTCCCCGCGAGCACGGGAACCCGGAGAGCTCTGCTCAGGAAGATCCCTCGCAGCCAGGAAAGAAATCCCCCTGAATCCTTGCGCCCCTTTCCTAGAAAGGACGAAGGTTCACGAGGAATAATAATATTAATAAGTTAAAACACCCTTAACATTTTTAAGGGAGGAAGTGTAATAGATGCACGCCAGGCTTTAAAAACAAGCAAACAGGTGTATTGTGTACATTTGGAGTTCCTGTTTTGCTCATCTTTCACCACTCCACCCTCCACACACTAACATCTCTTTCTTCCCCACCAGCTGCAAAAGAACCTCTGCTCTAAATATAGATTTTTTAAAAAGAACTCTCCCCAGATAAGTTTAGCCTTCCATTAGGCTTGTTCCATTATCTTTTAAAATACAGGACCTGATTCTCTAGGAAGTAAGGAGGGTCTGCTCTGTGGTGAGCCAGGGTGGGGGAAAGGTGGCGGAGGAGTTGACATTGAACCACAGTTATCTGTCAGTGACTCAAAGCTGTCCTGCCTGCTTCAGGAGGCTTTCCGCAAACAGAATGATCTTTTAGGATTGAATTTACTCTTTAGTATTTTGTAATGTTCAGCTTTTTAAAGTACATATTTTTCAGACAGGAAGGGGAGAGGGTGCAGTCGCTCATGTTGCAACCTATTCTGAAGTGGTTTGAATGGTATCCCTTAGTAACTTGCACTTGCTTAAAGAGACGCGGAGTTGGGCCATTGTCAGAACTAAGTCAGGGAAGTAGATGGGTGAGGAAGGCCAGAATCATTCTTAGTACATTTGTACATTTGCTGGCACTTTAAGAAATTGACCATGAATCAATTGACTCATCTTAATTTTACACACACACACACCGCATCTATTCCCACCCTGCCATTATTTAATCCATCATGTTCCTACGTTTTTATAATCTTGCTGTAAAAAAAAAACAAAAACAAAAGAGAATGTGCACTGAACTTAAAAAAAAAGGAAAACAAGTCCAAACTGATTTGTCCTGTATTTTGTTAAATCACAGAAGTGGAGAAAAGCATTAAACTAGTCAGTTTTGATTGGAAATGCTGTAAAGATTGGAATGAAGCCCTGTGAGGCCTTCCTATCTCCAAGTCTATGTATTTTCTGGAGACCAAACCAGATACCAGATAATCACAAAGCTTTTTTTTAATAAGGCTTAAACCAAGACCTTGTCTAGATATTTTTAGTTTGTTGCCAAGGTAGCACTGTGAGAAATCTCACTTGAATGTTATGTAAGGGGTGAGACACAACAGTCTGACTATGAGTGAAAAAAATATCTGGGTCTTAGTCAGTTTGGTGCATTTGCTGCTGCTGTTGCTACTGTTTGCCTCAAACGCTGTGTTTAAACAACGTTAAACTCTTAGCCTACAAGGTGGCTCTTATGTACATAGTTGTTAATACATTCAATTAATGATGTCTGACATGCTATTTTTGTAGGGAGAAAATATGTGCTAATGATATTTTGAGTTAAAATATCTTTTGGGGAGGATTTGCTGAAAAGTTGCACTTTTGTTACAATGCTTATGCTTGGTACAAGCTTATGCTGTCTTAAATTATTTTAAAAAATAAATAAATGCTGTCTGCAAGAAACCAGCTGGTTTAGAAAAGTTTAGTATGTGCAGATAAACTAGAAGTTATCTTTATATTCTAGTATTTTCAGCACTCCATAAATTCTATTACGTAAATATTGCCACACTATTTTGTGATCTTAAAATTCTTACCAAGGAATAAAAACTTTAATATACAATATGAGATTGTCTAATAATTAAAAAGACATAATGGATGGTCGATGAATTTTAAGATGTCTATGAATATAGGGATGAAAGTCATCCAGGGTCTCAAATATATAACTTTGTCATTGGCATGATATCACACGTTTCCAATTTCTTGCAAGCCTCCAGACTTTGGCTGTGTTTACCTGCTTGTTCCCAATGTATCTTAATGAAAAGTGCAAAAGAAACAACTACCAATCACTTGTGTGGTCTGTTTATGTTAGACCCAACTTGCTCATGTTTTTATGATTGATGAGTTTTTCACTTTTTATCTTTGACACCCGATAGCTGCTGGTGTGTTTCTCTTTGACCAGGTCTGGTATAAATATGCTACCACTTAGGGATGCTGTATTTCTCAGTATATTTTAGCTCCTTAACCTTTATAAAATAATTATCTTGTGGAACTTCATCATGGAATTCAAAGAATAGAAATCATTTCTAAACCTTTCTCAAATTTATAATCAAATTTGTGATTTGATACAAACTGTGTATAGGATTGTCAAATTTTAGTTTCAGTGATGTTCTTTACAAATCCCTTGATTTTTGAAAGGTGTTGAAATAATAGTCAAAATTTATGAGAAGTAGAAAAAGTGCTCCCTCTGCTGACTTTATGGCAACAGAACTCCAAGTCATAGCAAGTGGAGCCAGAGGAACCTCAGAGATTGGTTTGTCCAGCCCCCTGCATTTTATAACAAGGGAAATAAAGCCCAGAGATATCAAATAGCTCCCCAAGGTCACACAGCTACCAGGAGCCAGCATTAGAGGCCAGATGTATTGTATCCTCCAGTCAGTGAATGCATCTTGAACCAAGTAAACTGAATTTGGGCAGTATTCATGAAATATCGTGAATAAACTGCAGTCACAGGAAATAAGAATTAACATTAGAAATCAAAGTTAATAAAAATGTTCTTTCTAGCATTTGTATGATTTTTGATAATAAAAAAACCTTAGGGTCGGACCAGATTTTATAGGTTATTTTAGTCTAAATGTATATATACTAACACAGTAATAAGATAAAGTTAGGATAGAATTGAAAAATATTGTATCTGGAAAATGTTATTTTGTTCATAGATTTATTTTAATAGACTAAAAGACTGAAGTCATTATAGTTTGCTAAGGACGATTATAATTTACCTGCAGTGGTGAAATTTTAGCCAAAATCCTTTATAGTATATGTGATTTTTCAATTTAGGACGAATGAAAATCTTGAGTTAATAATGCTCTTTACATATAGTATTATACCAATTTTACATACATGTATTTCTCAGCAAACTTTATATTGAATTGATAAATGGCCGTTTCCCCTAGAAGAGCTATGCATATTTTTAAGGCACTAGAAACTACAATTTAATAGCTATTTAAAGTATAAAAGCATGTCCTGGCCGGTTTGGCTTAGCAGTTAGAGCATTGGCCAGCAGACCAATGAGTCTCAAGTTCAATTCCAATCCTAGGCACTGGTCAGGTCCTGCAGGAGGCAGCCATTTGATGTAGACACGTTGATGTTTCTCTCTCTCTCCCTTCCTCCCTCCCTCTCTATCTGCGGATAAATAGAAAAATATCCTCTGGTGAGAATTTTTTTTAAAAAGTATAACTGGAGGTTTAGTTCTTATAGTGAAAACAATTTTCATTTAGGTCTCTGTTGTTGATGATACAGGCCATAAATTTGCTTATTGCCCATCATCAGAGATTTGTTCAAATGTATGTAAAAGAGGCCTCAGCCTGTTTCTGCCTATGTCACAGGTCAATTCTGAACTTCTCGCTGAGAGGTAATTGATAGCTGAGGTTCTAGGAAAGCATGGCTGAGCAAACAGACTAATGACTTACTTTAGATAGAAATGAACAGAGCCCTCATGAATGAATTAAGACCATTATAATGTCAAAAGGTGGCTGTACTACTGTGATAATAGTATTTTACTTCAGATAGCAGTCTGATGTGTTTCATTAAACAAAAAATCTGTTGGCCCCTCAAACCAGTATATTTAGGCACACCCACTGTTCAGTGTTGTTTTAATTAAGTTCAAAATGGATATACAGTGTATGCTGAAGTCCGATGAAGGTTCCAGTTTTTCATAGAATTTAATAGGAGATTGACATGGAAAATTACCACATATTTTCTGTGATTAAGATGGGATTTATACTAAAAGAACATGTGCAGCATGTACTATAAAAATATGCCCCTCGAAGGGAGTTGGACATTTGTCTTAAAATTAGGTTTCTTGCATTTGTTCAGTGATTCCACATTGAAAGCTCCAAATGTAAAACTACACCTTTTAAAGGTTAATATTTAAAAATTCTCATTTCAGTGATGCCTAATTTATCTGGCCTCAGACAATGATGCATGTCCCAGAAAACACTGGCTCAGAACACTGAACTTTCTATGTTCAAGTGCCAACATTGTTTATCTTCTTTTTTTCTTATTTTAGTGGAAAGCCTACTGAAATATGTTACACACATCCTCTAGTATCTTACATGTCTTAGAAAAAATATACCCTATCCACAGTTAACCTTTCTCAGTAATTCAGGGTCATCACTATAAACATCACTTTTGTACTATGTGTGTCGTCTGGGAGTATTGGCACCTGCATTACATTCTTTTTGAGTTCTTCTATCTGCTTTTTATAGGTTTTTCAGTCTCTACTCATGGTCAGGCTGCCAGCTGTCACTTCTAGATGTGTCAGAGATCCTGCCTCTAACTCTTATCTAATTTTCTGACTTACTGTGGCCTGAGAGACCATTTAACCAAAACCACACCCATTTAAAATGTGTCCAAAATTAGAATAAATAGGCTCTAACAGAGTACCTGTTGGGCACTTCTCTAAATTGTGTGAGGTTGTAGAATCAGTGACATGTTTCTCCTCCCAACCTTTTATTCTTTGTTCCTCTTACCTTTCACATTCTTAGCAATTCCATATCAGAATACTATGCAAAAGCCTTCAAATACTTTATATATTTTTATCATTTTATTACATAAAAAAGCAGCTTGTTCATGGTTTTATTCCACAACTAACCACAATATAAAGAGACTTCTATTCCGGAAACAAATTATTTGATTTGATGAGTACTCCTTTCAAGCTGATAGGAATAGGGGACCAAGGGTCATTAGTGAAAATTGATTCAGCACTCCCTTTGATTCATGGATGGCCCGGACCCTGCTTCTGGTGCGCAATCACCACCTCTGAGTTTTAAGTATCTTGGTTGGCAGGTCCAGCAAAAGCATTCTGGGGAACTGGCTGGGAGGATGTGTAGGCCCAGATGCTGCCTCTGAACTTACACACACTTATTGATGAGAACCGGTGAGAGGTTTCAGACTCCCCCCTGACTACAACATACTCCTTTTCTCCTTGAGCCTGTAAATTCAGTAAATGGCTATGGGGATACAGAATTTGTTTTGTTCCTACTATAAGTGTTTTGCAGTGGTCAGTGTTGAAGAATCAAAAATTAATGATTTCAGAGGATCTCAAAGACTAGTGGGGATGACAGACCCACACTAAAATGGATTAAAATGAAACATGGTAAGTGCTTAAGCAGGGGTGAAGACAACACTTGGAATGAGGGTGGCTAACTTCATCTGGGTGGGTCAGAGAGGGTCTTGAGAAGTAGCTGGGTTTTACAGAATAAACAGGTGAGGGAGTCCATGGGCTTCCTCCAAGGAAAAGGCACTGGCACACTCTGGTCCTGTGCTAAGAACCAGGACATTTTAATTGATTATATTGGACTTGAGGTCTGAGCAAGGATTTCCTAACTTCTCAGTTTTTAGCACTTGACTGTCATACTGGCTTTCACCAACATCTTCTCCTGAGGATCTGAACCATACACTGGGACTAAGGGGTCATGGTATTTCCTACCTCAAAGGATGTAGCATTCATAGCATGATAATATCTAATGCAGTAGGGAGAGAAAAACAAAACCTCGAAAGCAGCTCTGTCTCACCTTATCCATAAGTCTGTCTTACAAAAGAAACTAAGGGTGACTTCTTTCCCTTCAGATAAGGGAATAACATGATGATCCTTTACCTTAAGGGGAAACGGGTGGGGGGAGGGGTCAGGAGAAAGTCTTAAATCTGG